ACAGCTAAGCGAGGCTAAGATGTAGCTAAGTTAAGCTCAGCTAAGCTAAGCTAAGCTAAGATGAGATAAGCAACGCTAAGCTAAGGGGACGTAACTGGGGGAACCGCGGGGCGGATCCTGGGGGGAACCGCGGGGCGGATGCTGGGGGAACCGCCCGGGGTTTAGTCCATTGCCCGCCCCTTTAAGCATACCGAGTAAGAACCCTTCTAGGCAGAGCCTAGGTAGAGAATTAATATCACTACAAAAATGATTTTAGTATTTTGATTCACATGACTTTTATCATTCCTCCTCCTCCTCGTCCTCGTCCTCCTCCTCCTCCTCCTCCTCCTCCTCCTCCTCCTCCTCCTCCTCCTCCTGGCTGGCACAACACCAGCAAGTCCTGGCCTTGCACCAGGTGGTGACGTTCGCCGCCAGGATGCCCAAGTCACAAGGACCCTCGACGTCGTCATCACCCACATCGCTGCTTATTGAGTGGCAAGAGCTCTGCTTGGAAGCGCTTGACCTTCTCTCGCGATCCTCGGGCGACTGAAGGTTGAGCTCGCCCAGGCTGGCTTATCTGAGCCTCCCACGCAGCTCGGGGTCGTCCAAGTCGATGCCCGCTCCGACTCCATCAACAGGCATGTCGGCAGATTCCGAAGCACCAGCGCCAAACCCAGCAGCAGCAGCAGCAGCAGTAGGTCCGCCAGCTGGGGCCTCTTCCGCGCGCTTTGCTGCCTCCTCGGCGCGCTCCTGTGCAGCCTTGGCCTTCACGTGCAGCCCGGCCCGCTGCGAAGCAATGACGGTGTGCATCTCCGACGCCTTGGACGCCAAGTCTGGCATGCAGACGGACTTGGACAGCGCCTCACACAGCTGAAAGCAGATGGCAAGCGCCTGGTCAACCCCCGAAAAGTCGAGGCTCCCCGCTGCTTGCACCTTGCCAGGCACGGGCACAGCGCTGACCATCTTCTTCTCCTTGATGATCTCATTAGGCTCTTTGAGCGCCGACTTGTGACGCTCCAGAAGTTTCTCCTCTTCCTCCTCCTGTAAAGTCTTCCCAGACTGTTCGAGCACCTCACGAGCCGTCCGAACACGCGCAGCCGTCTTCTCCACTTGCTGATCCCGCTTCCCACGGCGCTGCAAGAGGTCTTGCATGCCCTTGGACCAAAGATCCGCAGCTGACTCTCCTCCTCCTCCTCCTCCTCCTCCTCCTCCTCCTCCTCCTCCTCCTCCTCCTCCTCGGCCGCTAAGCCCACCTTCGCCGAGATGACCTCGGCTTGCTCGGCGGTAAGCCCAAGCTTGCCGAGGCCAGCGAACAGCGACGCCTGCCGCTCCTTCTTGGCCTGCGCCACCGCCGAGGCGGAGGCCCAGAGCTCCACTTGCCCTCTGGGCCGGGCGGCGCCCTGACCTCGGGCTGCTGGGCGCCACGGAGCGCGATGGCCTCCAGGACCCAGGGCGGCGCCCTCCTCCCGCACTGCTGGCGCGCGCGAGGAGGCATCGACGCGGTCCGATGTATGGAATCGTGGCTCGGAGCAGCTGCGCCACTTCTATGTGCGCTGCTCCAGAAGCCAACCAGGCACCTGAAAATGGCTAGGAGGAGGAGGAGGAGGAAGAGGAGGAAGAGGAAGAGGAGGGGCAGGGAGAGGAGCAGGAGAAGCAGGAGGAGCAGGAGGAGGGAGCAGGAGGGAGGAGGAAATAGGATGAGGGAGGAGGGAACAGGAGGAAGGCGAAGGGGGAGGAGGGAGGAGGGGGAGGAGGGAGGGAACAGGAGGAGGCTTGGGGGGGGGGAGGGGGCCGATCCTTCTGCCCTCCCACACGAAGCCGGCGCACACGTGTGGCCACACGACGTGCATCTGAAGACCGCCCAGCAGGCTGGGAGCGTCACGCGAGGAGGAGCGGAGAGCGGAGGGGGCGAGCCTGGAGGTCGAGCGAGCGAACGGGCCAACGAACGAACGAACGAACGAACGAGCGAACGAACGACGGAGAAGGCCCAGGAGGAGGGGTAGCGAAGGACACAGCAGAAACGCTACAGGACCTCCAGCGTGAGGAGGAGGGGGAGAAGGAGGAGGAGGAAGAGGAGGAGAAGGAGGAGGAGGAGGACAAGGATGAGGACAAGGATAAGGATGAGGAGGAGGAGGAGGAGGAGGATGAGGATGAGGATGAGGATGAGGATGAGGATGAGGATGAGGATGAGGATGAGAATGAGGATGAGGATGATATTGAAGATGAGGATCAGGATGATATTGAGGATGAGGAGGAGGATGACGAGAAGGAGGATGTGCTTGAAGATTAGATTGCAGATGAGGATGAGGATGAGGATGAGGAGCGAACGACACGCAGAATGAGGATGAGGAGGATGAGGATGAGGATAAGCATGAGGATGAGGATGAAGATGAGGATGAGGATGAAGATGAGGATGAGGATGGGGCGCAGGAAAAGGATGAGGATGAGGATGAGGATGATGAGGATGATGAGGCCGAGGATGAAGATGAGGATGAGGATGAGGAGGAGGAGGAGGAAGAGGAGGAGGGGGACGACGACGAGACGGAGGAGGGTGATGATGGGGAGGAGGAGGAGGAGGAGGAGGAGAAAGAGGAGGAGCCCTCAGGTGTGAGGATCGATATTCCCGGAGATCCGGTCATCGCATATATATATATATATATATATATATATATATATATATATATATATATTTCTCGGTGGGCATCTTCGCCCATGTTCGGAGCCAGGCACCTTCACAGATCGATCTGGCTTGAGACATGCTGCGTCACGACGCTTCACTCTGTTCCCAGGCCCTTTTGGGAAACGTCAGACTTCCGGGGAAGAGGAGCCCTGAGGTTCGATGATTAAATCTATAGAATGTTATGTTATATGTTTCTTTGTATTATTAATCTCTTGTCTTGCAACGCGCGCCCTTTTCTGCGTGCTTTGCCGCCGCCCTCCGTTGCTGGCCCCCCGGCACCGCCCCTGTGGCTCTGCTGGGCGGGCGCGCTTCTGCGCCCCGGCCGCTTACGGCACCGCTCCTGCACTGGCCGGTCTGGCGGGGTCCGTCCCCCCCTCCGTCCTCGTCCTCCTCCTCCTCCTCCTCCTCCTCCTCCTCCTCCTCCTCGTCCTCCTCCTCGTCCTCCTCCTCCTCCTCCTCCTCCTCGTCCTCCTCCTCCTCGTCCTTCTCCTCCTCCTCCTCCTCATCCTCCTCCTCCTCCTTCTCCTCCTCCGCCTCCTCCTCCTCGTCTAGGGGGGCTACGGCTGACAGCACCGCCCACTCCCTGCGGCCCGCCTGGCAGCGGACCCCGCCGCGTGAGCGCTCTCCCTCCTCCCCCCCGCCCGCGGCCGCTTCCTCTTCCCGATGTGTTCCCGCTCGTACTGCCAGACACTTAGCGATGCCGTATTCCGGCTTGCCCGAGCGCGCGTGCGGACTGCATCTGCCGCGCTGCGACGTAAAACATATGTTCTGAACGTCTGAATCGCGCAGCCGAAAATATGACCCAGAGAATTATAAATCAAGACACCTGGTCCAGCTTCCAGGAAGTTCCTTCAAACAACCCTGGGTAAACTTCTTTGTTCACTCTGGAGGGACGAACGTGTTTAAGAAACTGGGCCAGCGTTCCAGAAGTTTATGAGGAAACGTTAATTTAGCTTTTCGGGAGTACATGTCTTAATCGCATGCTCGACCGTAAGAGGCTAGGGGTCAGCGAGTCCGAATACGAGTGGCCGAGAATAAGTGGGTCTCCTATGAGCGCCTGGATGTAAATGGGTCTTGGTGCGAGCGAGCTTGAGTATGTGTGGCTAAGTATAGACGACTCTGGACACGACCAGACTATAGTGTGAACGGATCGGTGTATGAGCAAGTCTGTGTCAAAGCCCCTGCATCCTCATTGGGAGGCCCAAGTGCCATGGAGAGAGGGAGGGGGGAGGGGGAGATGGAGGGAAGGAAGAGGGCAGCGAGGGAGGGAGGAGGCTCCCGGAGGCGAGAGTGTGGTGCAGGCTGAAGAGATCACCAGAGGTGCTAACAAAACGTCCTCGATGCTCGATTCCTCATCATCCTCCTCAGCCTGCTCCTGCTCCTTCCTCCTCCTCATCCTCCTCCTCCTCCTCCTCCTCCCCCTCCTCCTCCTCCTCCTCCTTTCGCGTGCCCTCCAAGTTTTGATGTGGGCGGGAGTTTGCGAGGCAGTCCACCAGGACTCGCCGTGACTCGATTTCACGGGCGGGCCCTGGGGCCGTGCCGGGGGTGCATCCTGGTCCCCGGCCTGCTCCTGCGGGGCCCGTCAGCGCCTGCCAGTATTGACTACCTACCAGACCACCCCAACCCAACCCGAAGACCCGAATTTCGGGTTGGGGGGGGTAAGGGTTCCACGTGTTTTTTCGATGTTTCCCGACCCCCCCACTGGAAATCAAGGGTAAATCTGAGCCTTCGGATTGGGTTGGGGTGGTTTGGTGGGTGGCGAAGTATGGGATGTAAAGGTCCCCGTGCCGGACCCCCCTCAGGTCGCTCGTCCCCACGGTTTCGAGACGCCCAATTCAGCGGCCGAAGGGGCTGAAGAGCGGAGGCGGGCGCCGAGGCGGCCAAGCTTTGGCTTCTCCTCGAAGAGGAGGTCGGCCTCTCATTCGGGCCAACCGCGTCGCGGCAAGGCATTTGCCGATGCACCTTTCAGCCCTTTAGCCTCCCAATGCGAAGCAAAGGTCTAGGTCCCAGGCTTGGGCACAGGGCTCGATGAAAACCGCCCGCCGTGCACTACAATGTGAAAAAGAAGACTTCGGGATGATGGGCTCCGCCTGGTCAAGAGACAGCCGCGTCCAGTCAAGAGGGTGGAGAGGAGGAGGGATGCGGAGAAGGATGGAAGCGGGGGGGGGGCAAAGGGGGAGAGAAGGCAGCAGGGAGAAGGGAGAGGAGGGAGCGGAGGGTAGGAGAAGAGGACGGGAGGGGAAAAGCGATGCGGGCCACGGGGGGAAGGGGGAGGATGGGGGAAGCGGGGGAGGGAGAGAGAGAGAGAGGGAGAGAGAGAGAGAGAGAGGCAAGAGGAAGCCTGTGCAGCCGTGGGCGTCGCGGACGGTGATGAGCGGCGAGCTCCTGTCGCCAAGCACAGTGCTGACGTGGCGGACATCACTTAGCCTGGGATCGCCATCCAGGTTTCGCACCACCTCCTGCACGGTGCACTCCTGGGCAGGCGCATCGCGTTCACACAAATCGGGGCCGCCAGCACAACACGAGCAGCCCTGCTTGTCTTGCGTCCTCCCCATAGCCCACTTTCCCTCCAGTCTGGCGGCATCCTTGCAAACGCTGCCCAAAAGAGAACCAGTTGAACAAGGCTTCTGCTCTCAACAAGACCAAACAAAGCAATCTGAAGTCGGCCATCAAACAGTTTTACGGGCGACAGATGGGCAGAGGTGCTCATGACTAGGCAAGGTTCCGATATGCAGTTGCACGAAAGGCTTCCTCGAGTAGTGCAAAGAAGTTCTGGGTCGACGGGTGTAATGTTTACTCGGGGATGTGGACTTGACGATTCCAAGAGATTGCACAGCATGACTTGCACCCGATGATCTTCTGCACCCTGCATATAGTGCGCCCCAGTACTTGCACCTCACAGATCGCACAACAAATATTGTGTTTGCTGGCGCGGGACCCTAAGACAGTGCTTGTACAGAGTGAATGTGAAATAGTGCGTGATAGACGCAGTCTGGGCCAGCTATGCGGTGAAAGCAATGCTGTGAAATCTATGTTGTGCAAACTGTGGTGGAAGCTACGCGGTGGAAGCAATGTGGTGCAAACTATGTGGTGCAAACTACGCGGTGCAAGATACGTGGTGCAAGCGATGTGGTGCAAGCTATGCATTTTGCGTGATGAAAGACACCAGCTGTTTGTACAGGCCTGCGAAGCGAAGCTGCGTGGGCGGGCGAGCGTACTGAACCCGACATGGATAAAACAGGACAAAATGATGCTGTGCCCCCCCGTTGGCCAGCGGTGGGGCAGGGGTGTCCCGATGGTGCCCACATGGTGCCCCGATGGTGTCTCGACGGTGTTCAGATGGTGTTCCGATGGTGTCCAGATAGAGTCCCGACGGTGTCCAGATGGTGTCCGCATTGTGTCCCGATGGCGTTCCCATGCCGCCCCTATGGTGTCCCGATGGTGACCAGATGGTGACCAGATGGTGTCCACATTGTGCCCGATGGTGTCCGCATGGTGTCCCGATGGTCTCCAGATAGTGTCCCGATGGTGTCCCGATGGTGTTCCAATGGTGTCCTTAGGGTGTCCCGATGGTGTCCAGATGGTGTCCCAATGGGGTCTCGCTGATATCCCGATGGTGTCCCGTTGGTGTCCCGACGGTGTCCTGATGGTGCCCCGATGGCATCTGATGGTGACCCGATGGTGTCCAGACGGTGTACCCCGTGACATCTATAGATGAATAGGTAGTAAGATTGATAGATAGATAATGGGATCGACTGTGAGATAGATAGTGAGACCGATTGTTACTCCAATAGAACGAACCATGGCGAGATCAATAGTGATATCGATAAACCGATGTTCACGACGCGTCCTAATGTTATCCCGATGGAATCCACATGGTGTCCACATGGCGTCCACATGGTGTCCCGAGCTCACCACCAGCATCCACACCATCACAATCATCGCAGCTGTCGTCACTTGATTTCCCCACACACACACACACACACAACCTCCTTGTCACCCGAAGGGCGGTCGTATGGGTACGTGGTATGAGTAGGTGGTGCAAGCTGGGTAGTTCAAACTGTGCGGCGCCAAGCTAAGTGGTGCAGTATGCGATGTAAGCTAAAGAGGAGGGGGAGGGAGGAGAGGCAGGGAGAGGGGGGAGAAGGAGTAGGAGAAGGAAGAGGAGGAGGAGGAGGAGGAGGTATCACCAGGCCTACGGGCGACGACTAGCCGGACGCCCAGCGAACCCAGCCAGATCGCGAGGCGCCCACTAGGCGCCCACAGGCGGCGACTGGGCGACAACATGGCGAACCCAGCCAGCACACGAGGGCGCCCACGAGACGCACACACGCGGCGGCCAGGCGAAACCCTGGGGAGCCCAGCACATCATGGCGAAGCTCAGTGAGAACCCCTTCGTGCAAGCACTCTGTGGAGAGAGCACGCAAGAGCCTGCAGCGCGGGGCTCGCACAGGAAGACATGCTGAAAACCACCGCTACTTTCTACCGCCTGGCAATCATCCCCCCACCCCGCCGAGCACCCACACTCCCCCGGCCCATGCCCTCGGTGTATGTTTTGGGAACCCCAGGGCGCTCTCTGTTTCAAGCTCCGGACACCACCGACAAACCCTCCCCTGCTTCTCCTCCTGCTCCTCCTCCTCCTCCTCCTCCTCCTCCTCCTCCTCCTCCTCCTCCCCTCCCCCTCCCCTCCTCCTCTCCTCCTCCTCCTCTCCCTCCTCCTCCTCCTCCTCTCTCCTCCTCCTCCCTCCCTCCTCCTCCTCCTCCTCCTCCTCCTCCTCCTCCTCCTCCTCCTCCTCCTCCGTTTCCTCCACCTCCTCGTCCGTTTCCTCCACCTCCTCGTCCTTCACCTCCTCCCTTCCCTTCGCCGCTTGCTCGTCACCACCTCGTCCCCCCCCCCCCGGGAAGCCTGCGGCAACCTCGGCAATGATCGTAAAACCCGCGCTCCCGACCACTCCAAAGGTTCGAGTCCTGTGGCCCTGGACCCCTCCACCCCTCCCCCAGGAATTGCGCTTCATGCCGACCCGCCTTTTGACGGCCAAGAGGCAGGAAAACCTCAGGCTGGAAATCTTCGAGTCTCCGGAAACCTGGGTTTGTCCCCGACCAAGATCGAATCAGAATAAGCCCGGGGCCCCTTCTGTGATCCGCCAGCCAAGCTGGCGTTTCGAGCTGCACCCAGCCGCGGCCACGTGGGACGCCCAGGAGGACCCGAAAGACTCGAACCTGGAAGCGGCGATGTATTGCCCATAGATCGGCAATAGGCCACCGATAGCGAAACCGAATGCTCATGGGCGGGGCGGGCTATCAGGCTCCTATCGGCGATCAGTGGGCGATTGGAGGTCGATGCATCCACCCCTCAGCCATTTCCCCCCTAGACTTGCCCTGACCTCCCGCTTCCTGGACTCAAACTCGGGCCCCCGGCGGCCGTTCGGGACGGTCCTGGCACCCCCAGAGCGCCCTCGACGAGGCGCAGCTGGCGGAGCCACCCCTGGTTTCGGAAACTGTCGAAGGCTCCCGAGCACTTCTGGATGCATCCCCCTAACAGCGCCCCTGACGCTCACCCCGACGACGGGGGGGGCTCCTCCGCTGGCGCCCGGGCCGCGGCGAAGAAGCGGCAGGTGCCTCCAGGACGGCGGCGCGCCTGATCGCTGGCGGCCGCGTCCTTGGTCGTTCCGCCCCCTTCTCCTCCTCCTCCTCCTCCTCCTCCTCCTCCTCCTCCGACGACGACGACGACGACGACGACGACGACGACGACGACGAAGACGACGACGACGACGACGACGACGACGCTCGACGAGGTCAATCTCCTCCTCCTCCGCCTCCTCCTCCTCCTGCTCCTGCTCCTGCTCCTGCTTCTTTTCCTCCTCCGCCTCCTCCTCCTTTTCCTCCTTCTCCTCCTCCTCTTCTTCCTCCTCATCCACCTTCTCCTCCTCCTCCTCCTCCTCCTCATCCTCCTCCTCCACCACGCAACAGGCACGTTGATCCGTGGTGTGGAAGCCTCAGGGCGATGGAAAACTGTCAGGTCGCAACAACAGCTACGTTGACGAGCGGCATTGAATTCCCAGGAACAGCATATTGCCACGAACTTAAATTCTCAGACGGTTGTCTTTCAATGGGCACTTCCTGCTATGAAAACGAATTATTGTAGGAACCTATGAAGAGGGAATTTGGAGGGAGGGTGTGTCGCAACATCGTTGATGCGTCTTGGGTTTAGAAGACTGGTCCTCCTCACCACCTCCTCCCTGACAGACCCCACAGCATGTCAGTAGGGCGGGCACCGAGCCTGAGACTTCCTCGCCATAGCTTCAAGGACGGATAGTGGTAACTTGCATATTTGGCTCCCGCCTTCACGCGGCGCACATGGCCATTTTCACAATATGGCTCTCGTCCTGGCGCTGCGCACGTTCGCCGCAAAGGTTTGCAGCAGCTTTACGGATGAAGAAGAAGACGCCGTGTGTCCAGAAGGCACGTGAGCAATACTCTTATTCAGCCACATCCGCAGCCTCGAGGTGAAGCAAGGCGGGCCGAAAAACGAGGAGCGAGAGGGAAAGGAGAGAGGAGGCGGAGGGAAGGGACGAGGAGCGGAGGGAGACGGAGAAGAAGGAGCCAGGACGGCGGACTGGCGAGAGCCAGAAGCAGCGACACATCAGCGGGACTGGCTGTCGTTCCGCGCTGCTCGCCTCCACGTGGTCGCCGGAACGGCGGCTATGTCAGTCAGACCTGTCTAAGCCACTATGCACACATGCGCGAACAGCGTGCCTGTGTAACTCTCGGGTCCATGCCGCGCAGGGCCGGCCTCGACCGCGACGCGCGGGCGGGTCGTGAAGCTCAACAGTCGACGGCTTGAACACAATGCTCCGCACTGGGTGGCCGTCGCTCATCCGCGCGATGCTCCCGAACAGAACGAACTGGCGTTCTAATAACAACCTGCTCAGCTTGCTTTGCCTCGCTCTGCTGAGGACAGTCTGGTTGGCAACCCGGCTTATGTACGAATGCGGGATGTGTAATATCTTCCTCCGACAACGTGCTTGCAACGCATCTAATTTAGACAGCTCTGCCGCTTTCAGCCAAATGGCGTGGACGGTGTACATCAGCTTCGACACCACGCACGCATTGAAGATCTTGATCTTTTTCGCTGGCGGGGGGCTGGAGTGAAACTACACCTTGTCCAGCTTGTCAAACTCGGCCCTTGCAGCCCCCAGCCGCCTCGCGAGCTCTGCGTCGGAGGCTCCGGAGGAAGACAGCACGCTGCCGAGAAAGACAATGCTGTCCTTTTGGGTAATCATGCTCCCATCTGGCTTCTCGATGTCTGTATCTCCGCCAACGGACAGCAGCTCGAGCTTGCGCCAATTATACTTTAGCCCGTAATTGGCCCCGGCAGCTGCGATGGCCCGCATGTATTCGGAGGCCCGGCCCTGGTCTGCGGTCACAATTAAAGTGTCGTCCGCGTAGACGAGGTCTCTGACATTCGATCCATCCTGCCCCATCGTGCGCCTAGCGTCCGTCATTAGCTTTACGGATGGTGGGCAGCTAATGTTCCAAATATGGTTACCGCCTCTGCACACATTCGCTTCAATAATACTGAAACACAGACTTGAACACCGAACGTGTTCGACATGTGGTTTTCGCAATACGGCCGAGCACCTTGGCCTGAAAAGTCGCAGCAGGTTCGGAGATGCAAGGGGGGGCGCTTGCAAAATTGTGTTGTCACCCTGGCGTCGCGCACACTTGAAAACAAATCGGGAAATTGCAGCAGCTTCAAGGAAGGAGGGCGGATCCTTTGCAAAGTAGCGCTGCTGCCGTAGCGCCGCGCACATTCGCCTTCAAGATCTTGTTAACGTTTCACGGTTTGAGCACAGGTAAGTTTCAACATGGTGTCCTCGTCTCAGCGCCGCGCACATTCGTTCCCTTAGCGCAGCATGTATGGCGATGGATGGATGATATGTTTCACACTTAGGGGTCCTCGCTCAAGAACCCGCTGCTATGAAAGACCTGAAACTTCAACACGTGTAGCACTGCACGGATGCCGGGATGCTCTTTTTCAAAATGGAGCCGTCGTTGGGCCTCTTCGCAATTCATGGCCACAGGTGTGTACATATGCAATAACTACGGTGAAAGCATTGGACCAGGAACCGTTTGATAAGGAATCCAGGGTCTGGAAGATGGTGAACTCCAATCGCGGATTGACCATGACTTTCGCCCTCCTCAGATAAGGAACCCTCCCGGGTCTGAAGCCTTCTGAGCACATGCCTTACCAACGCCCCCACTGTACCCAGATTGTGGGCGGCCACACTTCGAAATGGTAATCTCGCTGAACACTTCGCCGAACTGCATTACAATGATTGCTGACGTGCCTGCTGACGCCTCCGAGCAATGCAAAAACAGTTCCTGCTCACAGTGGCGCCCTCGCCAAAGTGGCAGGCCCAGCTGCACTGGTTCGTCAGCGGGGGGGCTTCTTGCAATGAACAGAATTACTCCGACGGAAGGACCCCACATGATAATATGTTCAGCTTGCCCTTAGCCCTTTCCTCCTCGCCCTGGCAGACACCCTCCTCTCGCCCTGTGATCTGCCCTTTCTTCCTCCTCCTCCTCCTCCTCCTCCTCCTCCTGCTCTTCCTCCTCCTTCCATTTCTTCTCCTCCTCCTCCTCCTCCACCTCCTCATCATCGTCGCCCTCTCCCAATCCCTTCCCCGTCGTCATCTCTCCCCTGCTTCCTGCGTTGCCAGAGGCTCACGCAGTTGACGAGGCCAGGGGCTCTCGCTGTCGACTGAATAATCACCACGTGTGCGGCCAGAGGCCCGCACAGATAACGATGACGATGACAGAGGCTCTCGTCGTACACAGCTATAAAATAAAAAGCGCTGCCACAAGCTCACGCAGTCGACGAGGCCAGAGGCTCTCGCCATCGACAAAATGAAAACCACCTGTGCGGCCAGAGGCTCGCACGGGTGACGAGGCCAGAGGCTCTCGCCGACGCTGGCTGGATGATACAAGACTCGTACGCGGCCAGAGGCTCGCAGACCTGACGAGGCCAAGAGCTCTCGCCTCGCTGACAGGAACCCAAAAGTGGCGACAGTTACAGGGATGGGATGACCCGCTCGGGTTAGCAACATGATATGCAGGCCCCATAGGGAGGGGGCTCCCGCCTGAAACTTGCTCGTCATTCACTCAAAGAGGAGGCTCCCGCCTGATACGTCCTCCTAATTGAAGCCTCGGGAGCTCAAAAAACATGACTGTTACGGGATTCCGCGACAGCCCTCCTCCTCCTCCTCCTCCTCCTCCTCCTCGTCCTCCTCCTCCTCCTCCTCCTCCTCTTTTTCCTCCTCCTCCTCCTCCTCGCCCCCCTCGCTCTTCCCCTCCTTCTCCGCCAGCCGTGGCGACAAGGAGGACCCTGGGGGCCGAAACGCATCGGACCTCGACTCTTGAACTTAGGAGTTCCAACCTCGACGTAAACCCCTTCCTCAGACCTCGGTCCTCAAAATCGGTCCTCAGACCCCCACCGAAAAGTATCGGGCGCAATTTTTCGTCCTGGGTCAATGTTCGACGGCCCCGGAGCCCGCAAACGTCCCCCAGACGCCAAAATCAAAACGCCGACCCGACATCGACGACTACGATGACGACGAGGGAGCTCCCGCCTGAGACTTCCTCGCAATTCACTCACAGACGAGGCTCCCGCCTGATACTTCCTCCATGCTCAGGCCTGAGGAGCCCAAAAGTGACCACGGTTACAGGATGCCGATGACCCGCCTCGGATTCGAACATGCAATGCGGGCCCCTTGAGGGGGAGCCCCCGCCTGAGACTTCCTCGCGATTCACTCACAGACGAGGCTCCCGCCTGACACTTCCTCCATATTCAGGCTTGAGGAGCCCAAAAAAGACCACAGTTACAGGATGCCGATGACCCCCCTCGGATTCGAACATGCAACGCGGGCCTCTTAGGGAGGGGGCTCCCGCCTGAGACTTCCTAGCAATTCACTCACAGACGATGCTCCCGCCTGATATTTCCTCCATATTCAAGCCTGAGGAGGCCAAAAGTGACCACAGTTACAGGATGCCGATGACCCGCCTCGGATACGAACATGAAGTGCGGGCCCCTTAGGAGGGGAGCTCCCGCCTGAGACTCCCCCACAATTCACTCACAGACGAGGCTCCCGCCTGATACTTTCTCCATACTCAGGCCTGAGGAACCCAAAAATGACGACAGTTACAGGATGCCGATGACCCGCCTCGGATTCGAACATGAAGTGCGAGCCCCTTAGGGAAGTAGCTCCCGCCTGAGATTTCCTCACGATTCACTCAGAGGCTCCCGCCTGACACTTCCTCTACATTCAGGCCTGAGGAGCCCCACAGTGACCACAGTTACAGGATGCCGATGACCCGCCTCGAATTCGAACATGAAATGCGGGCCCCTTAGGGAGTGGGCTGCCACCTGAAACTTCCTCGCGATTCACTCACAAACGAGGCTCCTGCCTGATACTCCCTCCATATTAAGGCCTGAGTAACCCAAAATTGACGAAAGTTCCAGGATGCCGGGAAGTGCAGGCCCCTTAGGGGGGGAGCTCCCGCCTGAGACTTCCTCACAATTCACACAAACGAGGCTCCCGCCTGATACTCCCTCCATATTCAAGCCTGAGGAGCCCAAAAGTGACCACAGTTACAGGATGCCGATGACCCGCCTCGGAATCGAAGATGAAGTGCGGGCCCCTTAGGAGGGGAGCTCCCGCCTGAGACTTCCTCGCGATTCACTCACAGACGAAGCTCCCGCCTGATATTTCCTCCACATTCAAGCCTGCGGAGCCCAAAAGCGACGACAGTTACAGGATGCCGATGACCCGCCTCGGATTCGAACATGAAGCGCGGGCCCCTCAGGGAGGGGGCTCCGGCCTGAGACCTCCTCACAATCCACTCACGGACGAGGCTCCCGCCTGATACGTCCCCCACATTCAGGCCTGAGGAGCCCAAAAGTGACCACAGTTATAGGATGCCGATGACCCGCCTCGGATTCGAACATGAAAATGAAATGCAGGCCCCTTAAGGAGTGGGCTCCCGCCTGAGACTTCCTCGCGATTCACTCACAGACGAGGCTCCCGCCTGATACTTCCTCCACATTCAGGCCTGAGGAGCCCAAAAGTGACCACACTTACAGGATGCCGATGACCCGCCTCGGATGCGAACATGAAGTGCGGACCCCGTAGTGAGGGGGCTCCCGCCTTAGATTTCCGCGCAATTCACTCACAGACGAGGCTCCCGCCTGATACTTCCCCCACATTCAGGCCTGAGGAGCCTTGAAGTGACGGTAGTTACAGGATTCCGATGACCCGCCTCGGATTCGAACATGAAGTGCGGACCACATAAGGAGGTGGCTCCCGCCTGAGACTTCCTCGCAGTTCACTCACGGACGAGACTCCCGTGTGAGACATCCTCGATTGACACGCCAAGAGGTGAGTGATGACGAAATGATGGGTGAGTAAATGATGATGGTGAGTGACTGAATGAGTGAATGAGTGAATGAGTGAATGAATGATGATGATGATGATTACGGTGACGATGAGAAGTGAGTGTGTGAGTGTGTGATTGAGTGAGTGTGAGTGTAGGTGAGTGTGTGATTGATGAAGATGGTGATGGTGATGGTGATGGTGATGGTGATGGTGATGGTGATGGTGATGGTGATGGTGATGGTGATGGTGATGGTGATGGTGATGGTGATGGTGATGGTGATGGTGATGGTGATGGTGATGGTGATGGTGATGGTGATGGTGATGGTGATGGTGATGGTGATGGTGATGGTGATGGTGATGGTGATGATGATGATGATGATGATGATGATGATGATGATGATGATGATGATGATGATGATGATGAGTGGGTGAATGGGTGAGTGAGTGAGGGTGAGTGATGACGAGGGAGAGAGGGGGTGCGGGAGGACTGCGCGGGGCGTCCAGAGAAAACAAGAACCACACTCAGGATGTGGGGAAAACTTCTCGTTCAACGAAAATAAGCACATCAACATGGTGCTAGCTCGCGCGCGTGCAGTTCGCACCACGAGCGCCAAACAAAAACAGAGGAGGAGCGGGAGGAGAAATAATGGATGTATTAATCTGTTGTGGGCGCAGTTCCCGCTGATTCGAACGATACTTCATATAGACGGGCATCACACAACAGCAATCAAAGACCGCAGCACACCACAGTCTCGACTGAAGGTTCGCTAGCTTTACCAATGTCGACCAGCGGACCACGGAAGCGACGCACAGGAGTCCCTCTTGCAGCGAACAAATGCAACAACGTATGAATGGGGGGGGACAGCATCACTGACGCATCTTGCGTTTACTCTGGCCCTCCTCCTCATCATCATTATCCTCCACCTTTTCATCCTCCTCCTGCGCCAGTTTGTCGACTTCCGAAAGCCAGCGAGGTCATTATCCTGTTCCTGAGCCTGCTGTCCGCATTGGATCCTGTAGCGGAGGACGAGTTCATGCAGTTGTGTGAAGTTTCGCGCCGTCACAGCCTCTGCGCAGTGGCTGGCTTGCAAGACGCACCAACAAGGACTCGTTGAAAGCGCCGTGCCCGAGGACAGCTGCGGCGAGGCCTCCTTCCAAGAAGCGCCCAGCCGCCCAGAGCATCTGAGCGCCCCGTGGGCCCGCGCATCCGCGCG